TTTATTTATTTATTTATTTATTTATTTATTTATTTATTTATTTATTTTTGTAACTTGTACTGTTTTTAGTGGCAGATCAGCCTGAACAGAGGTAGTGGGAAAAAGTGTTTTATGTCTTTGTATTTGGGGGACTACAGCTATGCAAGCAAAAGTATATATATACTATAGCCAAGACTCAGCAAAGAAATGATTTTTAATCTATGAAGCAAGGTGGCTCAAAGGGAAGAGGAGGTGCCTGCCTCCAAATGTGGCAACCTGAGTTTGATCCCTGGACCCATGTGACAGAAGAGATTCCCACATGTTGCTCCCCACCCATCACAGCCGAAACAAATGCACCTAAGCTGTGTCGTGCTGGGGATGGTGGCATAGGCCTGTGTCCCAGCCTCTTGGGAGAGGCCTTAGACTTGAGGCTGGAGAGATGGCTCAGTGTCTGCTCTTCCCAAAGGTCCTGGGTTCATTTCCCAGCACCCACATCTATAATGAGATCTGATGCCCTCTTCTGGCATGCAGGTGTACATGCAGGCAGAGCACTCAAATAAATAAATCTTTAAAATAAGACTCAAGTGGCTCGGTGGTTAAGAGCACCGGCTGCTGCTTTAGAGCACCTGGCTTTGATTTCTAACACACCCCTATGGTACTTCAAAACCATCTATAACTCCAGTGCTAGGATATCTGATGCCCTCTTCTGGTACCTGGTTTTGTGGTGGATAAACGTATACAGGCAAAATAGTCATCATACATATAAAAATAATGTGTGATTTTTTTTTCTATTTCGTAGTTTTTTTGTTTTTCAAGACAGGATTTCTTTGTGTAGCCTTGGCTCTCCTGGACTCTCCTGGCCTTGAACCCGCAGAGATCACTTGCCTCTGCCTTCTAGAGTGCTGGGATTACAGGTGTGCGCCACTGAGTCTGGCCCATTCTTTTTTTTTTTTTTTTTTTTTGTAATTAATATATTCAATTTACATCCCAATCGTAGCCCCTCCCTTCTCTCCTCCTGGTCCTACCCTCCTTCCCTTTTCCCCCCTCCCCTACTACCCCGTTCCAACACATCACGTCCACATCAAGACTGAGCACATCCTTTTTCCCAGTGGTCTGGCCAGGCAGCCCTGCCAGGGGGAAGTGATCAAAAAGCATGCCACAGAGTCCTTGTTAGAGACAGCCCCTGATCCCATCCGCTACAAATGTGTAGAAGGCCTAGGTCCAATCCATGCACAGTGCTTCAGTCTCAGAAAGACTTCCTGGGTAAAAAAAAAAAAAGCTGGTTGGTAGTGGCACACACTAAAATCCCAGCATTCAGGAGGCGAGGGAGGTGGATTGCTGAATTCCAGGCCAGTTTGCTCTGCAGAATGAGTTTTAGGACAGCCAAGTCTACACAGAACCTTGTCTCAAAAAAACAAAACAAAACCGAAAAAACAATTATGTTGCGCAGGGATGCCATCAGCAGTACGAGGGGTGCTTGGCGTGGGAGACCCTGGATTTGATCCTCAGTTCTAAACAAACCCCAGGACAGCATCTTGGCTGGATGCTGGAAAGGAGTTAAAGGGAAATGTTCATTCCCACCTACCATATTTGGGATGTTACTTTTCCTCCAGCATTTCTGGTGAATCGAACGTGCTCCAGGGTGAGCTGTCTCCTAGCAGGGTATGGGTGCAAAGGGCGCACAGAGCTGTTTCCAGGCTGCTAGGGCTTCAGGGAGGACACAGAAATGACGATTGGTTAACCGGTTCCCTGGTGTGTCAGAAGTCGAGGTTGCTAGCCAGAGCTTCCACACCCTGGAGGAAATGGGCCCTCAAGACGCTTTTGTTAAAACTCTGTGGGGCCCTCAAGAGCACCTGTACTCACTCGTGTGCACATACCTACACACACTCGTGGACACGGATGCATACAACACACACATGAACACATACTTTTAAATAATTTCTTTTTTAAAAACCCTCTTGGACTAGATGTATGGTGGGTGTCTGTCGGGCTTCAAGATGAGAAGAAAACTGGTTAGCAGGCCTGGTGACACACCTGCAGTCCCAACTAACTCTGTAGGTGAAGACAGGATTATGGTACACAGGCCTGTCAGAATCGAGGGAGAAGACAGGGATCCTTGGAAACTACCGGCAGGTAAAAAGCAGTGGAAGACAAGGTAGGCAGTTTCACTGTAATTGTCTTGTTTTCAGAGTCGGCATCGGTTTCAACATCTCCGAGGGTAGTTTTGCTTCGTTCTGCATCTGGCTGCGGTGGAGGTCAACGTCATGCCTTCACAGCTCTATCTTTGAGCTTCCCCACAGCCTCTGCAGCTGCCTTGCAGTCGCTTCCTGATGGGGATTCAGATACCTTGAAATCAAACACTAGACAAGTAGCCCATGGATCCCACGGCTTCTCTTCCGTTCCCGAGGCAGTCACTGCCCAGATAGTCCAGTTGGAAACTTGCATAGTATCCTTGCCCCCTGCTCCTTGACGCACCCACTCCCCAGTCAGTGACACTCTTCAATTGCATAATTGTTCAGTCCTGTCACTATTTCCCAAGTCTGCTGACCCTTTCTCCACTGCCTCTGTTTGCTGCGTGACTTGCAGCGATTACTTGGCTTCTCTTTTCTTTGAGTTCCCCGTCCATATACGGAAAGTTATACCTATTATGTTTACCTCATCGAGCTGCGGAGGCAAATGGCCTAATGGGATTCAGACTAGTAGCAGTTACTCAGACTGTCATCAGGACCACATTTTACTTAATGAAACAAGCACCTAATGAGTTTCCTGGATTTCAGTCCCCTCCCCTTGCTCAGCTCTAATGAGTTTTCTGAAAGGCAATTAATTTGATCTCCAGCACTAAAGGGGAAAAGGGAGAGAGAGAGATGAGGCTGGAGAGATGGCTCTGTGGTGAAGCGTGCTCAGCAAGCTGGATGGTGGTAGTATATTTGGGAGGCAGAGGCAGGTGAACCTCTGTGAGTTTGAGGCCAGCCTGGTCTACAGAGCTAGTTCTGGGACAGCCACGGCTACACAGAGAAACCTTTCTCGAAAAATAACAAACAAAACGAAAGAAGAGAAAGAGAAAGCATACTGCTCGTTCAGTTGTTCTGGCTTCTGTTCTCAGTACCCAGACGAGGTTACTGGCACCCATGCCAGCCTCCTCAGAACCATTTGTAATGTTAGTCCTAGAGGATTCAATGCCCTCTGGCCTCCATGTACTGCATGTGCATGGCGGAAATAAACTAATATAGGGGGCACATATACACTGTAATAAATAAATACATGCTTTTAGAAGTTAAAAAGTGGAGTGGGGATGAAAGCTCAGTGGTGGAGCAGTTGCTGAGTATTTATGGAGCAGGGAAGGGCAGAGAGAGAAGAGGAATGCAGAGAGAGAGAGAACCTAAAATGTCTGCATTTTTTGTTTGTTTGTTTTTTTTCAAGATAGGGTTTTTTTTTTTTTCTTGTGTTGCCTCAGTGGTCCTGAACTCGCTTTGTAGGCCAGGCTGGCCTTGAACTCACAGAGATCCGCCTGCCTCTGCCTCGCGAGTGCTGAGATTACAGGCGTGCGTCACTGCACCCTGCTCTCGCAATGTCTGGATTAGATAGAGAAGAGCTTCTGGGGGAGGAGAAACCCAGTCTCTGGGCTAGAAAGCTCAGGGCAGAGGGCTGGGTATGTTAGTCATGCCCTGTAACAGGTAAGGACTGAGGGTTGCTGGGAGAACCTGGAGGCCAGGTCTAGTTTGCTTAAATGGGCACCTCAGCCGCTTGTCCTGGGTCTGAATCCCAACACCCCTCTTTAATTCCCAGCATTCAGAAGGCAGAGGCAGGTGGGTCTCTGAGTCCAACCTGGTCTACATAGAGAGTTCCTGAATAGCCAGGGCTACATAGAGATACCTCAAGAAATAAATAAACTAACAAATAAAACCTTTGCATGTTAGGGCAGAAGAGATGGCCCAGCAGTTGTGGGCTGGCTGCCTCGGACAGAGAACCGTTTCAGAAACAGAGAACAG